CCCAGAGCCCTGCAAAGCTTCCCAGGGGCATCTCAGCTCAGGTGAAAACCAGCCTGATGGAGCAGATAAGGTTTTGAGCTTTGCTGCACCTTTGTTCCGAGGGTGCAGCGTCTGGTTTAGGATAGTTAGTGGAAACATTTCCTCTCTTAGGCTGCTTTTGAAGTTGTGTCATTCCTTTTTCTTAATGAAACATGCAAATGCTGCAATTGCATCTCAGGGAATTCAGTCCTGACACAGGTCTGGTTGTAAATATCTGACTGGCATGTAATTTAGGGCAGATCCATCCTCATGACCTTTTTCCTCGCCGTTTCTTATTCCTCAGAATATATTTTCCTAATGCTGGACTGCTGGGAAGCCCACTTGGTAGCAGCCCTTTTTGGCGTACCATGGCAGGAGGGGGAAAGAAAAGGCTGGGTTTTATTAAACAGTGAAGCCGAAGATGATGGCAGCAGTATGGCACGACCTGCTGTTGGCAGATTGCCATGGCAGGGCTTTGACAAGCCAAGAAGAAACCTCCTGCTTGGCCACTCATGGTCCTATTCAATGATGCTGAATTGCATATGTTGAGATCACTTTTCTCTGCACTTCTGAAGGCTTGGCTTACATGGGATTTATACCTTCTGCCTCCAAAATAGTAGAAAACTATTCAGTAACAGCATTACAAAGCTCGTGCTAGCGGTATTTCATGGCTTTGTTTTTAACTGCAATGCTCCCTGCTTCAGGTTTACATCCTGGCAGCAAATTTCTTTTCCCTTTTTAACCTTCTCCGTGTGCACAAATGTCCCAGACCCCCCTGGTGAGGGGCACTGCACCCACGGCCGGGCGGCCAGCCCCCCCGCACCCCCTGGATGCCACTGCTGCCCGATTTGGCAGTGATTTGAGAGACAACATGCGAGCGAAGAGCCTGCCCGAGTGGCTGGTGTAGCCAGATGGCTGAGGGCACATGTTGTAACCACAGCCTGCGCAGAAGGTAAAATGAGCTGAAGGGTTTTTTTTTATCCTGCGTGGAGATGCGGCGAGCACAACCCGGCCATCAGCATCCCCTCCTGGGCAGCCAGCAGGCAAGTGCCAGCATGGCTCTCCCCCAGCTGCCCAAAAATTCAAGGTGGAAGAGGTAAAACCCGAACGTTTGCAGGTGAACATTGAGAGGGGACGGGTTACCTTTTAAGGACGGCCTGTGCAAGTAACAGGCATCGAAGTCTCGCTCCTCTGGCACCGGTAATGCAGAAGTTCAGCCTAACGCTTTCATTGCACAAAATGGCATCTCCAGCCAGCACTGCAGGTGGTGAAAAACAAGTTTCTCAGTAAAATAGCCAGACCCCATGCTGGAAGGGGGGATAAATACCCTCTATTCCACATCCCTTACTGCACCCTAAGCAGCCTGGGAACCATGGCGCCTGTTGGACCTGGCCTGTTCAGCATCAGAGCACTAAAAATATTTCAAAATACCTATCTTGAAGTTGTTTAGCATACTTTGGTCAATAAGCCACCTAACCTACAGGTGACATATTCAGACCAGCACCCAGATACCTATGAAAGTGATGGTAGCCACTGCAGCGCTTACTGGCATTTCAGAGGTTAACTTGAGCTGGCCGCGGAGTCTGCTCACACTGCGGGGCACTGGCAGGGGTCTGAGCCCCATCTTCCCACGTTTTCATGAAACATGAGCTGCAGAGCCCACAGACAAGGCACTTCAATGCCTGTGGCTCGTCAGCTCTGCACCCTTGACGCGGGGACCCCTTCGCAGCACAGGGCAAAGCTCTGGGGATCCCCTGGAGCTTTTAAACTTCCAGCCTTCAAGTATCAGCACCCCGGGGCTTTCCTTGCCTAAGCCCATGTGCATCTATCAACCAGTTGCAGATATCTGGAAGGAATCACCAGTATCATTATTCTGCACGCTGTGACAAATTCTTCTATGTTTTCATTAAAAAAAAAAAAAACCAGAAGAAATGAATATTTGCCAAGCCCAGCTGTGCAAGTCAGGCAGATTTTCAAGCATGCACCGGCACAAAGGTTAAGCACTCGGTAATTCAAGTGTCTTCTACATACAGTAATAAAACTTCTTATGATGTATCCAGGAGCAGCTGCTGCCCTGCCCTTGCTTAGCAAACCTAACTGTCTTCTAAAATTATTTTCTATTCATACGACTTAGAGAGAATGATGTTCTAAGTTAACGTAACTCGGAGCTGATGACTTCTGTCTCCCAAGCTTTTTCTACGGCTTTAATTATAACAGCACTTTAACGCTTGCAGTAGAAAACTGCTGAAAATGCGTTTCTTGTCTTGCAAATGATGCAAAAAAATGCCCTTTGCAGATGTTTGATGTCACAGATGTTCAGTACCGCAAAGCTTAACCAAAGTACACCCTAAAAAGGGGTGTGACGATAAAAAAAAAAAAAATTGCTTACACTCATAACTTTTCAAAGACATACGGAACACGTGGATGAACACAGTGCTGATTTCAGTATGCTTTCAGCTTTGCTGATGTATTTGCAGTCAGTACTAAGGAGTCACTCCTACAACACATAGGCACATACAGCTGATAGAATCACAGATTGGAAGGGACCTTAAAGATCATCTGGTTCCAACCCCCTGCCATGGGCAGGGACACCTGCCACCAGATCACGTTGCTCAAGGCACCAGTCCCAACAGACATTTGGATCTTCTACCCGAGCTCATAGTTTTTATTAAAGCTCCCTTTTAATAGCCAAGAAGTGAAGAAAACAATCCTGCCCACAAACCTGAAGAGGAGCAGCATGTCCCAGGGACACCTTTGGGCACTGCTGCTTGCTGTCCCCAGTACTGACCTCTGTTGTCACTGCCTGCTTTATCTTTGCAGAGACATCAAGGGCCATTTGACTTTCAATATCAATTAGTTCAGGCAAGTTAGGCATCTAGTTGAAGTTCCAAGGTGCTCATCTACTGACTGAATAGTCCGAAAACTCACTTTTAGCTCTTCTCCACAGCTATACCCACCCCATAAAGTGTTGCACACAAATAGGGAATGACTATAAAATACCATTTTTTTTTTTTAACCATCATGTAGCAATAGAGGTCAGCAGAAGCCAGAGGCTGTTTGTCCAGTTATAAGCAGTCAGTGCTGGATGTGATTTAGCTGACGCTATTAGCCCGGGAGAGACCCAGAAGGCTCTCTTCGAGGAAACGCTCCATGAGAATCGCTCCGAGCTCAGATGCAGCATTTGCAGGCCTGGATGTCGACGGGGTTTTGTTTGTTTTCTTGTTTTAAAGAAAGACTTTTTAGGCAGAGTTAAAATGCATTCACACCAGAGCAGCTTTAACGGGTACACACAGCTAGAGGAGCACTCGGTCTAGCAGGCAAGCACACACCAAACCGCAGCATGCATTTTGTAACATCATCCGTGCAGGCTCAGAGGCTGTTTGTTTTTACCCTTTGTCTTAAAACACAATTTGGCAGCCCTCAGCGGCCCTTCCATCCCCTGGAGTGTGCAGCTCCCTGCCCAGGAGAAGCAGCAGCCGCCCTTACAAAGACCTCAGATGGTCTTTTAATTCAGCAGCGATTTAATTGCAGCCCTTGCTCCAGGACAGTTTCAAAGACGACAGCTCAAGGGTCCTGACTACAAAGAGCTTTGGAGCGGGCATTTTGACAATAAACTGTTCTCACCATTGTTCAGGCTCCCCCTTTCCGAAGGCAATGACTCAACTCCACCCGGACTGGCAGGGAGCCTCCAGCTTCTCAAAAACTGGGTAATGAGATTACGGGAGCAGCTCGCAAGGCTTTTGCTCTTCGCTGCGAAAGAAACCTCTGCGCTGTAAGAACTTTGTGTGCCTCTTAGGGGCCTTCTGATTCAGAGCATCTCCTGAGGGACGGGTTGGAGACCGCCTGGTAGGAAGCCAGGGGTATCTCAGGTGAAAAACTACGGAGGGACAAAACATGAATCCAAGAGGAACGTGTACAATTTTAAACCCCTCTTTGATAAGTTATTACTCTTCAGCTATCAAGGAATGATAAATGAAAGGCAAAAAGCTTGCACTTTACCATTTTATGGTGGCTCCACAAGTAGAGAAGAAATAACACATTATATATTTGCTCTTAGTAAATATACAGATTGTAATAGTTAAGAATGGGCTTGGTCCAAGCTGTTTATAGAGTCAGAAATCATTTTCACTGAGAAAATCCGTGTGTGGTATTGAACCCTGTAAAGACTTAGGCTAGGATGTGCCTCCTCTCTGAGAGGAGAGGACAATTCTTTGCAGCTTTCATTCCTCCTTGCAGAGAGGACGCTCCAATAACGGGACGTGGTCCTAGAGGGGCACCAAAGTTTGCCTCTCCTCATGCAGTAGTGGTTGAAGAGGGAGGAGTAGGAATGAGCAAACACGCATGCAAACCCCTTGAGTCTAAAAGTAAATTGACAAGATTGTGCTGACGAGGACCCCAGGGCTTGTCAAAGTGAAGGCTGCCGCCCCGACATCAATGCCACCACTTCCCTTGAAAAGACCAGCCTTACGGCTCCCGCATGTATTTATGCAGAGATTTATTAACTGCAGTTATACAACACGAACTTCAGGATTCATCTCCTTGAGATATTTATTTTAATTAAAAACAAACTGTTTGGGAAACACAATACATATTTCCCTCCATCTAGTTTCAGAAGAGCAACTCTATGGGATACAAACAGTCCTAGGCACTGCGCAGCGTATTAGATGATGGTTAAACCTCACACCCAGCAATACAGTCTTAACTCTAGTAAAGCAGAGCAGGAACAAATTTACATTTATGAAAAATGTAACCGAATTACACAGAGGCTTCCAAGAAGGACTTAGATGGGAATTAGTTTGAGCTTAAGTTAGAGAAGTAAAAAAAAGGCAAGTACACAAATCTCAGTGTGAAGGTCTTCACAGTTATCTCAGAGGCAACGGGAATGGTGAAGACAATCAATCAGCTGCGGAGAGCAGCCACTCACTAGATGGAAAATGCCAAAATATCCAGTTTCAGCACCTAAAGGCTACACAAGGGGAGACCTACTCTACCAGGATCGTATCAACACTTTCTTGGATGAGATCCGACTCCAGTATACATTCATCTCAGTGGTCTTGGGATAAACTGGAGCTTTTCCCCACGCTCTCGCTGTCACAGCAAGGACGAAACCTGGGGGTCGCGGGGCTCTCCAGCCGCTGGCAGCGGCTGGGTTTTTGGGCTGTATTTGTGCTGTTTCCCTCTGTGTGTGTACACGTGTTCGAGCAGCTGGCTCTTCGGGAAAAACGTGCGGCCAGACTGTGCAGCTGATTTTTCTCTTTCTTGAGAAAGAAAAGTTACAGTTCAACTCTACTGGTTCGTGGTCCTTGGAGATGAGGGAGAGCTGGCTGATCTGCAGAGGCTCCAAGTCGCTGCAGCTCAGATGCTCCAGCTGATGCTCATCCTCCTTGAGGAGGAAGGCCCCGAGCCGGTGGCCATCCCCAGCCTCCCTGTCCTCAGCCAGAGGCTGCACTTCCCCCAGGTCGCTGCTCTCCAGGATGGAGGCCGGCACGCCGAACGGCAGCGAGCCCGAGACGTGGGTGTGCAAGTGCTCCCGCAGCCCCCCCCGGGAGTCAAAACGCTCCCCGCAGTAGTGACACAAGTGCACCCTGAGGCTGGCCTTAGCAAAGATGGGGCCTGCTACCTCCGGAGAAGGAGGGGCGCAGCTCTGGGACACCACGGGCTCCGAGTCGCACCTCTCCTGCTTTATGGAGACCGAGAGCTTCGGACGCCCTTCTGCCGGCTTGGCGAGAGCAGCGGGCTGAGCGGAGGGGCGAGCGACCTGCTGGTCGAGGGAGCTGTCGTCCAGGCCGATGGCCAGAGAGAGCTGCAGCTGCGGGTGATCGCCCTGGGCAGCAGACCTGCTGCCCACCTTGGGCAGACTCTCCTTCGCTCCCAGGCGTTCCTTCGCCGGTTTGTGTGCGGCCGAGATCTGGATGCCGTACAAGTTTGAAGACTGGACCGGCTCTGGGGAGAACACTTGGTTCATCTCGATCGCGATATGGGAGAGGTGGTCTGCGTGGAGAAAGCGGATGCCCTCCTCCAGTCGGCTCTGGCTGACGGTCTGCTTTGGCCCTTTTCCGGTGTACATGATATGCAACAAGTAACTAAATATGTCAGGCTGAATGTCTGTAGGCTGAATCTTTATGCATTCGCTGAAACAAGACAGATGATTAAGTACATACAGGGCTCCAAATTACAGTCCCAATCCATTACCTGCCCATACATTTGCTTCGCCGTTTGCTGCTGGAGCGTGTGCGCTGCTGCCTGCCTCCTGCCTCACAACGAGCCGCGCTCCCCGCCCAGACCCGCAGAAGCGCATGTGCCCTGTTTGCACAGCAAAGTGCCTGAGCATGTATTTATCCCTGCGATTGTGAAGACCGTGCGCACAACCGCAGCCAGGGACGGTGAGAGCGGCCAGCTCCCGGTCACCCCGTCACTCGTACGCACGGCCGACTGCCGCCGCACGGCACCGCAGCGATGCCACGCAAGCTACGCGTCGCCAGTGTGTGCCACTCCAGTAATACGAGGCAAAGAATATTTGTGTGTTTAAGTAATAAATTCAGCTGCCGCTACTGTGTAATCTTTATGAGCTTTGCACTTAAGTGTCAGTAAACAACATCTATTGGAAAGGAAGTTAACTGATCTTCTCACTTCCAGCCGACTGGCGAGGCGGCTGATGGCTAATGATTACCCTGCAAAGGTGCTGGGCGCAGGTCCCTCAGAAAGGAACGAGAACGGAGAAGGGTTTAATCGATTACAAGCAGCAAGCTCCAGCTCAGAGGCGAGATTAGACCTCGGCACTGCTGTTGTTATTCCTGCAGAACCACTCCTGACCCGGCTGGGTGAAGCATCTGAACAGCAGCTTGGAATAAACTGATGATCTCAGTCTCGGCCCTTATCTGCAAGAGTCTGAAGCGCAGAACTGCGATAAGGCTACAGCTTCTCAATTGCTTCAAGCCCATGGATCCTTCCAGAAGGGACAGTCCCACCCAGCACGCTTGCCTACAAGCCAACGCACGCTGTGTATGGGCAGGAGGTACCTGTACATCCCTAGACTGCAACTCTGTGAGGTCTCACTGCAGGAGGGCTGTGGTACTTACGTGTTTATTTTCTCTGGTCACACAAATCTCTCCTCTTCAAAATGCGGGACCTGATGTTGGCACATGCTGACTAAGAGGGTGGTTTTAAAGGACAGCACATTCTGGACTGGGAATGTTTAGAGAACTGAGGCGTGTGCTGGGTTAGGAAAATAATCTCAGGCCATCTAACATCCCCACTTACGCTCTTTTAGACTATAATACCTTTAGAAAGGGGAAAAAGCAGAAAGTTGAACAGCGTGGTTAACAGGTTAGGAGGAGAGCTGTGTGTCCTTACCTCGTCTGATGAATAAATATCATCTTAAAATAGTTTGAAAAAGCAGCGAGCACCGCTCTGTGGGCTTTGAAGTAAACATCTCCAATGGCAACTGTGCAGTCACACAGAAAGCCAAACTCCCGCTGCATGTTCAGCTGCTGGAGGAGGAGGACGCTGTGGCCGGTGGTATCCATGGCGTGCCTGAGAGCAAGAGAACAAGATGTTCATCTCGTGAAGAAATCACAGAGCTCCCGAAGCCTCAAACGTGGGTTTCTCACCACTGAAAGGAGACGGGCGCTCAGTGAGCTCAAAACCTGTCCGGGACTTTTGGACGTGCCAGCTACAAGCCAAGCTGTTTCTCCTACAAATTAACCACGCTCCGTGGTGTATCGGCGCTAACTTTACACGTCGCTGGCGCTTTTGCTCTGACCTCGGATCGTGCTTTCCGCCGCACCGCCGGCTGCCCTCCCCATCGCTCCCCGTCCCCGCAGCGGAGGCGAGGAGCGCAGGGAGCGGCGGGGCCGCCGCGCACAGAGGGGCCCTGTGCCGCCCCACAAAGCCCCCATTGTGCCGGGCCGCGCCGCCCTCACCCCGCGCCGGCGGCCCCTTTGCAAATAAATGCTGATATTTGCTATTGTTTCAGCTCTAAATTATTGGGGGGGGGGGG